CTTTAGTGGGGTTCCTTAGACCCTTGATACTTCAAATTGGGATAGAAGCATGAAACTTGGTATACAAACTCACATCGGCAATTCAACAATTTTAAGATTTGAGAGCATTTCAGATCTGACCTTTAACCTCAGAAAAATGCCGATTCCTCATAACTCGAGAAATATACGTCCTTTAAACATAAAAATAGTGGAATAATGGAGAAGTACTAGTTCCTATTCAACTTTAATAGGAACATGTACCCAAAACCGAATACTTTAGGAGATATTTGCGTACTTTGCCAGCCCTATCAGAAATACATTTTCACCGCTGTACGCCGGGAAAATAGTGTTTTGATGAAATAATTGTGTGACGTTTATGTGACTATTTTATTGGTTGAAATATACATGTAATACTAAATATTTTTCCAACTTATTTGAACATTTAGTGGGTCCACCTGCTAGAATAGAAGTATAATATTCAAGGAATTTCAGTCTGAGCTTAGTTCGAGAAAAAAAAAACAAAAAAAAAACTTGACCTTCGGACAAATGCACTGACCCCTATAGGAATATGCATGATTTTTAATCACTAACAAAAACAAATAGAGTTCTCTGTGCTACTGCATTGCTAATTACTGAAGAATTTGGTCACTTTGCTTCTAACTATGTACTGTAGATTTAAGTAAGTAAATATACGTCCTACAAACATGAAAATAGTGGAAAATGTGAGTTGACATACATAAGTTTCATGCTTCTACCCAAATTTGAAGTATCATGCCACTTTTGGGACTAAGAAACCCCACTACTTTGATGCATCAAATCATATCCTGCTTTTGCCTGATTGTTTTTAAGAGGAGGAAAACCTTCCTCAGAAAAATTCTGAGGAAATTAAAAGCCACTAATAATACACCTCAGAAGTCAACAAAGTGACATTTCCAGTCATTTAGAAATCAAAATTTCTGGGACCCCCTTTTTTTTGGGGGGAGGGGGGAGCTCATTTACAAACATTTTTACTCCCCTTCTTCAGAATTTCCTGTAGCCAGAGAGAGGAGGAAGTAGGATAGCCAAAAAGACGAATGGCCCGAGAAAAAGGGAATTAATTTCAAGAGTACTACTAAACGTACTGTACATGGTATTTGGACACAGTTTTACCGCGATTAGTACAACCGTGTCAAAGTACCACGCGTAGTATACGTACTACGCGTAGTACGGATAGTACACGTACTACACGTAGTACGTGTACTACACGTACTACGTGTAGTACTACACGTAGTACACGTACTACGCGTACTACGTGTAGTACGTGTACTAACGTGTAGTACTACACGTAGTACGTATAGTACACGTACTACGCGTACTACGTGTAGTACGTGTACTATGCGTACTACACGTAGTACGCGTACTACGCGTAGTAGGTGCACTACGCGTGGTTCTGCTGTTCATAGGCGGTGTACTGAGATGGTCAGATCAGAGCGGTCAAGGGTCAAAAGTTTCCAATTTAGCAAGAGGGCGCCATTCATGCCTTATTACAGAATTTGCACGCGTAAATCCCGGAGAACGCTATCTTGTGTTTTTAAGATCTTTGAGCACAACTCAGGGTCAAAAGTGGAACGTGAAATTTGGATATGGTTTTGTAGTCAGATTTGCGAGAAAAACTTCAGCTACCCGTATTTCTCGACTGAAACGTCAATGGGAGCTGTAATTTATATGGCAAGGAGATTGTGCAACCCTTCATTCGTATTAAGGGAATTTACTTTGTAGTTATTAATATTTTGGTTATAATAGAAAATATTCATTTTTTGGTGACGTCACACTCACAA